TATAACCAGTGTTTTGAACCCTGCATCTGTTAGATTACTTGACTTCATTATATCTGGATCTCTGTTCTGTTCTGTCATATGGTTTCTGCTTCTTTGTCTTCCCATTTTGACTACCTTTCCGTGTCTGTTTCTATGTACTAAGCAAAGCTCCTAAGTCTCCTGGTCTTATTAGTGTGGATATGTGAAGTAGGTGTCAGTGGCACAGTCCTGAGAGGTGTTCAGCTGCAGGCCAAACTTAGCCCAAGTCTCTACCCCAACAGGGCCACCTGTTGAGATTCAGCAAGTGATCCACAGTTGTTGTACTCATAGTTGTCTTAAAAGGCCACAACAGAAACCAAAGGTGCCTCCAGTGTGAGTCTCAGCAAGGAGCACCTGACTCACTGAGGATATACTTGGATGTGGCTTGGGTGGGGCTGTGAGTTGGGGGAGGTGGAGTTTCAGGGAATCATCTGGTTGGAGTGACCTCTGCTATCTAGTTTGATGACATCTCGGCTATGGTGGCACCATATCTAGTGCACTGACAGTGGAAAAGGGCTCAACAGGGAACAGTGGAGACCGCCAACACTTCTGTACAGAGCGAGTCTCCCCTGGCCCTCACTCCGACAATGTCTCCCTGTAAGTCCCTGGCACCCGCTGCACGCATCCGAATGGGCACTGATGCTCAGAGTGAGCAGGTCCGTTACCGTGAAAATCCACTCACATATGCAGCCACCGCCTCACTCAGCTGCTCAATACTGGGCAGCCCCACGTCCTCACCCCGTCCAACCTTCTGTCATTGCAGGGTGTTTTCTTTGACTTCTCCCTAGTTGTATGGCTTGTTTCTCTAGATCCCAGGCGATTTTTCCTCGCTGCTCCTTGTTTCCGTCACAGCTTTTATTTGGTTGCCAGAGGGATGAACAGAGCCTCTATCATCTACGTCATTTTTTTTTCTGTCGCTGTACCTATATGTTTTACATAAGTATCATTTTGCATAGTATATCTTATGTTTTTCAGTTAGAGTAAGCATTGTCTTAATTCCTAAGAAGTCTTTTAAAATATCATTTAAAAATCATAGTGAAGGTCCTAGCCAGTGTAATAGGGCAAGAAAAAGAAATAAAAGGCATGGAGTTTGGAAAGACAGAAGTAAAGCTGTCATTTGTAAATGACATGATTGTTTATGTACAAAGTCCTAGGCACTCTGCAAAATAATTATTAGAAGAAATATATGAATTTATCAAAGTTACAGGATATAAAATCAGTATACTAAAAATATTTATTTTTTATATACCAGCAGTAAACAATTAGAAATTTTAAAAACAGTTCTATTTGTAATAGCATCAAAAAACATGAAACACTTAGGGATATATTTAATGTAAAACGTAGAAGATCTCTATGCTGAAAACTGTAAAACATTGCTAAGAGAAATTAAACACTAAATGGAGAGATAAGCCATGGCATAGATTGGAAGATTCCATATTGCTGAGATTTCTGTTCTTCCCAAATTGATCTATAGACTCAACACAATCATAATATCAGCAGGCTTTTGCAGAAATTGACAAACTGGTTAAATTTTTTCTATGAACTAATAAGTGATTATAGCAAAGTTGCATGATATAAGGTTAACATACATAGTCAATTGGATTCCTATATGCTAGCAATGAACAAGTGGAATTTTTTTTTCCCCTCTTTAATACCCACCCCCCCAACTTCCACCCCTGACCTATGGATGTTGCTGTTTCCCCTTAAGAATTGGATCTCTGAAGGCAGGGTGTCTTCTCCCACATGCTCATGGCATGCACCTGGGGCCTGGCACCCCTGGGGCCTGGCGCACCCGGGGTATGGTCCATGGCTCTATCTGGGGTGGGAACCCAGGACCTTCTGCGTATAAAGCAGACGTGCTAACCACTGCACTATTGGAGCCACTCCCAACAAGTGGAATTTTAAATTAACACATTGCCATTTACATTATGAAATACTTAGATATAAAGCAAAAATAATACGTACAAGACGAAAACCATAAAATTGATGAAAGATATTAAAGAATAACTAAATAAGTGGAGAGATGTTCCTTGTCATGGAACACTGTCCTGATTACTGTAGCTTTATAGTAGGTCTTGATGTCAGGTAGTGTTAGTCCTTGACATTTTTCTTCTTCAGCATTGAGTTGGCTATTTTGGGTCTTTTGCCTCTCCATATAAACTTTAGAATCAGTCCGGCAATATTCACAAAATAACTTGCTGGGGTTTTGATTGGTTTCTTCGGATCTATAGATCAAGTTGAGAAGAACTAACATTTTTATAATGATAGGAGATTATAACTCATTGAATAAAATAATGCATAACTTTACACTGATATAAATCATGGAGAAAGGAAAGCTCTTTTTTATGGTAATATGCCAATTAATAAATGCAAAAGGGATAAATGACTTAGAAAATCAGTGGATACTAAAATTAATAATGAGGAACAGCATATATACATAATTTGTGGGGAGATACTTTGAAACTATTAATTACAAGGGAAAAATCTTCCTATTCATGACATGGAACATCTCTCCATTTATTTAGTTATTCTTATAGGTCTTGTACATATTATCATCCCATATTTGGTTGGTAGAAATCCCTTCAAGCTCCTGTCTTCTATTCCCATCATCTTTAATAACATCTTTAATTTCTAGGATATTCTAAGCTCATCTTGTATTTTCCTTACCCAACCCCAGTCTGTTCTCTATTTATAAGCTTAGTATTTTTTTAAGATTCCACATATAAGTGAAATCATATGGCATTTGTTTTCTCTGACTAATTTTTTTCGAATATGGTGAAAGGCTTCCTAAGGTCCAAGGACCTTGCCCCCAGGGTCCATCCATGTTGCTGCAAATGCAAGATTTTGTTCTTTTTTATGGCTGAATAATGTTCCATTGTGTATATCACATTTTCTTTATTCATTCATCTGTTAGTGGACACTTAGGACACTTAGACATGTTTCCATGTCTTCGCTATTGTAAATAATGCAGCAGTAAACATGGGGGTACATATATCTTTTTAAATTAGTGTTTTTGTTTTCTTTGGTTAAATACCCAGAAGTAGAATTGTTTTCTCCATTCTATACTGTATACTACTTAAAAGAGAAGTAGGATCCAGGAATAGTTTTTTCTTACTTCACAGAAAGGAATCGAATCACAGAAAAAGGGGGTCACCTAAGGTCAGAAAGTCGGTCAGTGGTAAAACTGAAGATTGACACAAGGCATCCTGGTTCAGTGCTAAATTCATTAAACTTCAGTGTTGCAGAACCTTGCTGCCCTATTATCCTGGGCTTTATGACTGAATTGTATTTGAAAAACAAACTAATAGCAAGAAAAATATTACCCATTTAGATTGACAGAGCTTGATCTTGGTAATGTCCATACTTTTTGAGATAAAGTTTTATTAGATATGTAGCATGAACGCTTTAGGAAAAAGTCGTGCTATTATTTGGGGTTATATTTTATTGTTATTACACCTTTAAAGTTGGGTTCTTGTATAATACCAACATTGTCAACCTCAATTACAAGGTAGAACTTGCAGAGACTGAGATCTCTTCATAAGTTGTTCTCCTTTATAATACTAGTGTAGAGGGGGAATAGAGATGGCATTTCATAAAATGGGAAATTTGTTTTTTTTTTCCCTTTATAATATGAGTTCTAGGTTATAGAAAGGAATAAGAATGGTGCATACCTTGCGGTTATCCTTGATGATGATCTAGGGCGCACTGATACTTTATGGAAAGGTAGTCGAGTCAACATATGTGAATATACCAAGTGGTTAGTTTACAAATTAAATTAGCAAGTTTGCTTTTCTTTATTAAAGATTATCTTATTAAAGACATACTATATTAGGTAAATGCCTGAGAAGGTCGTTCTTGAATTTTTCTGCTTTTGGTTCTAAATAAGCTCACTTACTGGGTTTGTGTTTATTTAATAATGAATTGATTTATTGAAAAATACAAGAATATCAGCCAGAGCAATGAGCTCTGAAGATTTCTGGCATTGGATATGACCTTGTGGAAATTAACTGAAGATACAAATTGATTTAGCAAATGTGAAAAATTGAAAACATGAGATTAAATATCTTACCCCCATAATGTAATTCTAAATTTTCAAGCAGTTTGCTGATACATAGCCATTTTCAGTCATATTTTAAATTTTGCAGATAATCTTTTCATCAAGGAAAAAGCTTCTTGGCTCATCAGTTTAATAAACAGTTCCACAAACTCTGGTGCTTATCCAAACTGCTTATTCTATTTTGTTGCCATTTCTTCTTGCACAGAAATGCAGTCTGTACTGCCTGGATTCTCTATAAAGCTGAATGGGACGTCAAAGGAAGCCAGCTGTTCTCAGGACATATCAGGGGTAACACCTTTCCAGATGATTTTCGAGGTAGGTTTTGCTGTGGTTCTACAAATTACTGATGTTTTGATTGTGATTTTTGTACAAATATAACAATAAGACAAGAAAAGCCTAGGTGCATGACAGTTTCAAATTGAAATGAAATAAGGCATTGGTTCCCAAACTTCCCTGTGCAGTTTTTAAATCACCTGGAAGCTTCCAAAACACTGATGTTTGTGTCCTACTCCAAGAGGTTGTGATTTAATTGGTCCAATATGTTTGATTAGTCTGCTCAGGCTGCCATAAAAAAATACCACAGATTGGGTGCCTCAAACAACAAATGTATTTTCTCATACTTCTGGGGGCTAGAAGTCCCAAGATCCAGGTGCCTTGTCACTGTTTCCTCAGATGGCCTTTCCTCTGTACATATGTGGAGAGACCTTTTTGGTATCTCTTCTTATTCTTATAAGGACACCAGCTCTATCAAATTGGGGCCTTACTGTTCTGACCTCGTTTACCCATAATTACATCCTTAAGGCCCTATCTCCAAATGTAGTCACATGGGGGACTAGGGCTTTCACATATGAATTTTGCGTGGCATAATTCAGTTCATAATAGGTGTGGCCTGGCTTTGGAATACTTTTAAAATTCCAGATGATTCCTAATGTGCAGGTAAATTTGAGAACCACTGAAATAAGCCATTATTTAAATTTGGACTACCTAAAAAAATAAAAGTGGATTCTCAATGCCATATTTGGATATATTTCTATTAGATTAAAGATTTTTATTGATTTATTTGTAGCCCAGATTTATGAGAGTAACATTTGAGTTTTCCATCCCTTTAACAATTCTCTATCTTTCTTTCCTTTGAGTTGGTAGAGACATGAAAAATTAGAGTACTTTAAACATTTTCCCAGGAAGTACTTGGGAAGCCTTTCACCATATTCGAACATTTATATGCTCCTTCTAAAAGAATGAAAGGAATGGGTACAGTATCAGGACAGCAGATATCCCCGGCCATGCCTTATCTTCTTTAGGAGAACCGAAAGGTCAGCAATCTGGAGCCATTAATGGTTAGTCAGCTCTGAAACTTAATGTCAGATAGCAATAAAAAGTTGATTTCAGTGAACCAAGGAAAGCCATTTTAGAAAAGGAGATCATGTGTTTTAGCCAGTGTGCACAAACAACCATAATTCTTATACCTAACATTTCTATGTATTATTTAAGCCTGACAACTCTATAAAGTGGATAGGACAAGGATTATCACCCCATTTTACAGTTAAGAAAACTGAGATTCAGAGAATTTGGCTGCCTCTCTGAAGGTCATACAAAAGTTAAGTGACAGAATTAGAATTTGAAGCTAAGTCGTACTCATTGATCAGCACTCTTTCAGTAGTCATTCATTCATTCATTCATTCAGATGCCTGTGTTTGTTCAAGTTGGCCTTACTATGCTAGATATTGAAGGTGCAGTGTCCCAAAACATGTTGACTCGATCCCAAGGAACTTAGAATCTAAAGTAAAAGATAGACAAATAATTACAATACAGTGTAATATGTGTTGTGATAGAGGTAAGTGTAGTAGCACAGAGGAAGGATCCTTAACCCAGTAGGAAGGAGTCAAAATCTAGAGGTCTTGATGAGGCTGAAAACCAGATTTTCTGAGCATAAAAGATCCAGAGACTCGAAAGAATAGGAAGTTGTCATTAGAGTGATAAAGTTTCTCTTATTTTTTTTACCCTTATAGCAAAAGCAGTGTTTCCCTCAGGAAAATCAAAGTGAGCATTGAGACATTTTGACTTAAGGTAGCCACAGTTAACATCTTCGTATATACCTCTTTTCACATAAGAGTGGGACATGTCAGTTTAAGGTTTCCAGAGTAGTATCATTCTAGGCTATGGCCATGGAAATAGGTGGCTGGAAATGAGTAGGAGTCAAGCTCATTGGAGTTGAAGAGGTCAGGGAATGGTGAGAGTAAGTTGTTGCTTAGACTGGTGACCTACTTGGATATAGAATTCAGCCAAGGTGATGTCTGCACTCAGAGTGCAGAGAAAACCTGTGAGCTTAGTACCCCATGGTCAGCTGGTGATAGATGGAAAGACGTAAAAGAAAAATAAAACCTCAAAGGGACAAGGATTTCCTGAAAGCATTTGTTCCATTACATCTCATTATCTCTGATGCAGCAATGTAAAAGATTTTCGAATGAAGAGGGTGAGAAGAGAAAAAGAGATTGTGAAAGATTTATTATATACACCTCAGTTGGGAAGAAGGGTCAAGTAGCAAGGTTCATAGCAAAGGCTAGTAAATGAGAGATCATGAAAAAGCTATAATAAATGATCCACTGCTTTGGGCATGTGAGAAGAGCTAATCCCTGAGAAGACTGAAAAAAGCTTCATGTAGGAGAGACACAAAGTTTTGTGTGTATGCTGAGTCAGTCCTTCATCTTGGGGTCCATTAGGCTGGGTAACATGTCCTTCCAATAACAGTTTGATTTTACAAGATGTTGACAGCTTTATCCATTTTTATATTTATATTTTTGCCATAATACTAAATGATAACATGGATAGAATGTCATATAAGGTCCATGACTGCATAAGTTCATGTTTCAAAATATAAAACAGCTCCCACATCCTATCATATAATTAGACTTGTATTTAAAGGTCAGGGCTGAAACATACAATTCAATAGTGGTTTCTGCTGCCCATTGCTGGCACCTGGCACCTGGCACCACTATTCTTTCCTAACAACACTTAAGTAAATTCACTGCTTCTGTAGGTATGTCAGGCTGGTGGGTTTTCATCACCCAATTATAAAACACTGTAGAAGACTTTGTAGTCAGTCAGTATCTGTCACTGTGATTCTCTGTTTCTTTCTCTCTTTTGCTCTCAATAATTTCTGAGTAGATCTTAAGCTACTTGCTTTGTGTTAACTATCTGCTGACCTGACATTATTAGATCTCTATCTTCTCAATCTGGATTAGGTGCCAGTCCTTCTTGTATTTCTTTAGTATCTCATATATCTAAATCATAAAACTTTTCACATTGTCATACAAATTGTTTATTTGTATTTCTCTTCTACTTAACTGTGAACTCTTCAAATTCAGAGATTGGTTTATCTCTGTAGGCCCAGGTACATAATAAGCCACATTAAGTATTTTATGAGTGAATAAATACTGTATTAAGTAGTCATACATAAGTGTTGCCTGTCAGGATCCATAAAAAATAGTGATGGATTATAATATTTGATTCAGTTAGCTATATATAGCATAGAAAATGACCTTTCTTTGGAGAAGCAACATCGCATAGTGGAATGTGGGCTTTGGAGTTAGATCTAGGTTTGAATCCCAGTTCTGCCACTTAACTAGCAATGTGTGACCTTGGGCAAATTAATTACCCTACTTGGTCTCACTGTCCTCATCAATAAAATGGAGGTATTTCTTGCTTGCAGATAAACTGCTTGTCATGTAGCAGGTGTTCAGTAAATGGTAGCTCTCATCATTATTAATTGTAGCCCTTCTCTAGTAGCTGTTCAAGGAGCTTTCACTTATTTGGTTGCCTTATCGCTAGATATAATTAGCCCTTTCTATGATATACCCTATAATCACCAAGGTTACAGAAGTTTGAAACTGTTCCAAGAAGTTTTGGAAGTGTTAAGTACAGGAAATGCTTTTAAGAGACCATTGCTTTTCTACTATTTGAATATCTTAATATAAAAATTTTTAAATGAAGGATGTGACTATGATATGTGTGTTGCAGTTACCATTTAATTAACACTATTTACATGTATGAATAATCCTAGATTGGCTTCCAGAATTTTCTAATGAAAATATTTTTTTCTCATATTTTTTCTAAATATCCCTACCCATTATACAGTTCTTGATCTTTTTCAGTGTAGTTATAAAAAGTATTATAATTTATTCTTTATTAGATATTTGCATGTTTTTCTTTTGAGATTTTGAAGTTGGATTTTTTTTTCTTTAATATGTACCTAGGACATGGCTCTGTATTCTCTGAGCCACCAATAAGGACTTACTGATTTCTGACTCTATTTCTTCTCCTTCCCCTGAACTTCTCCATTTTCTGGGAGACTCCTAACTTTGGTTTTAGGGACACTTTATTAAATAAAGTCAGTATAGGAAAGTGGTTAATACTAAAGCTTGGGAACTAAACGGTACGGTAACCTTGGGTAAGTTGTTTAACCTCTTTGAGAACCCTTTTTTTCATCCAGAAAATGTGGGTTATATGTACCCAGTAGGATTTTTGTGAGGGGTCAACGAGGTAATATAAGTAAGATACTTTAGCACCATTCCTGGAATAGAGAAAGCCCTCACTGGATGGTAAATCTTATTATAGTTGTAGAGAGGTATCAGGGTATGTTGGAAACAGCATGGACAACTGGTTTTAGATAGACTTAGGGTCAAATTCAGGCTCTGTCACCGAATAGCTTAGTGGCCTTAGACAAGTTGCTTAACTTCCCTAAGCTGTGTGTGTTTTTTTTGGTTTATTTTTTAAATCTACAAAGAGGGGATAGTAATAGCTGCTTCCAGGATTGTTATGAGGCAGCGTATATATAGCACCTGCACAATGCTTGCCACATTGTAGGCATTTAACAAGTGGTATCTATTATTGTTACCATGTATAGCATATACTTCCAGATTATTATTTGATCCTTAAAACAGTTCCATGAGGTAAAAAGAGTAAGTTTTATCCTTCTTTTGTATGTTAGAAAATAAGGTCCAGAGCAGTTAAGTGCTTTTTTTTTTTCAAGGTGACTTAAGTAATTTTTATGGAGCCAATGCTAGAACACAGGTCTTTTGGCTTTTGAGCTTTTTGTTTTACAGTTTTTCCTTTAAATATAAATGTTTGGAAGAAGGAATTGACATTCAAAAATAGGTTCCTTTTAGTATCTGCTCCTTTGACTCCACTCATATTCTTGATACAGATTGACTCCCATTAGGATGGTAGAGTTAAGATAGAGTTACTCTTCTCAGCTCCAGTCTGAGTTATTTTTAAATTTGTTCCAAAAGGTGATTTTGAGATTGCGGGTTTTATTCTGATCGTTGTTCATGTGTCTGCAGAAGTTCCATGAAACAGGTATTTTAACCTAAGAAGTGTTAGCTGTTAGATTCCCTTTTGTGTCCAATTCTCAGACCCAAAGATGTTTCCCCTTTGGATGTCTGAAAAGCTTTCTGAGGTGTAGTTATTTTTATAGGAAGAAATACTGTAATTTAATTAATTTGTGTTCTTGGGTTTGTGTGTATGCGTTTGTGTGTGGTGGATGTTTTGTATTGTTACAGGTTGATGAAAAGCCCAGAACTTTGATGACAGATAGTCTGGTTATAAAGAATTTTTTACGAAAAATTGTCATGGTACACCCTAAGGTAAGCTGTTCTTTTGCACAATAATGATTTGCTTGTTTAAGTCATATGTTTTTAAAAGATCTCTCTAAAACCTGGAAAGATCTGGTTGATTCTCTTTCTTTTAATGACAATGATTACAACTTTCAATATTGAATTGATTTGGTTTCTGTGATGCTAAGGTAGTCTTGTTGTTTGTCATGTGACATAGTTGAGAGCCCATGAATTTGGAGAGTTTTCTTTTGGGTTCTTATTTTCACTTCTTTACTGTAGTACTGTATTACTTCGGGTACCTTTTTTCCCTCTTCTGTGTTTCATTTTTTTGTTAAGCCTGGATAATAAACCTTGCTGATTATCTCCTTTCTAAAGTAACAGTAAGAGCAAATAAGGACATTTTGATAAAGTATTTTGAACTTAGAGCAAAACTTTTTATTATTATCTGTAGTTAGATATGTTTATAAAGACGCACACAGTTAAGTGTGCTGTATAACTTCCCCTTTTTTTCTCTTATTAGCTTCCCACTTTTTCTGTCTTTAGCAGGGTTTAGTGCTTATTATTTGCCAGTCACTATTCTAAGTGCTCTCCTAAGTCATTCAACCCTCATAACATCCTTCATGAAGTAGGTTTTATCATCATCATCCCCAGTTTATAGCTTGGGAAGCTATGGTACAGAAGTAAAATAATTTGCGGAACCAGGATTTGAATATAGACAGTATGGCCCTAGAGTCCCTTATCACCCATCACGTTATATAGAAAGAAAAAAATATAGGTTGAAGTTAAGAAATAATTAGAACAGTGAAGTAAAGTGGAGGGAGAACATAAAGTAAGATGGGGCAAGGAAAGAAGAAAGCATGGAATGTTCCATGTATGAAAAAAATGGAAGGAATAGAAGAAAAATGGATAGTTCCTTTAACAAGAGAGAAAAGAGAAACATTGGGAGAACAGCAGAAGATGAAAAAATAGGATTTCTTGATAATTTGTGACTACTTGGAATTGTAGTGTAGGACTCAATATAGTTAAGATGCAGAATTTGAACACAGACAAGTGTTACTTATGTTTAGAAACAGTGCAAGTAAAAAAAGGGCAATATAAAAAGGTGACTTAGGAATCGAGTATAGAAGTTTTTAATCTCTATCCTGGTTCATGTTGAATCTCACACACCCGTTTATTTTGCAGATTAGATTTAATTTCAGTGTAAAGGTGAATGGAATCCTTTCTACAGAAATCTTTGGGTAAGGCCTTAAATCCATGGCTTAAGTTTATGCCATGGCTCTACAGCTTTTCTGTCATTATTGTCCTATTTCCAATAGGTTCACAGTCTGGTTTATTAACCCAAAGTCACTTCGAAATTAATATTTTGAGATCCCTTCATTTTCTTCTACATTAACTTTTAATGAGTAAATAGATTCAGCTAAACCTTTCATGTCTTTCCCTTTCACTAAAGTGGGTGAACTTAAAAATTGCCATTTTCCCTTGAGTAACTGGTTACTGAATTTCAGTAAGCTCTGGGGGTGGTAGTAATCATATAACAAAATTTATAACAGGCAGAAATTGGTTTCAGAATCTTTGAGATACAGCTTAGCTTTTCTTTGCTTTGCAGGGCAGAGAATGAACCCACTTTGAACCTGTCGAATGGAATTGCTCTTGTCGTGAACTATCAGCATTATGTGAGGTGAAGGGGAAAAGCGTTGTTGTCTCTCTCTATGTTTTACTCTATTATTATGAATGTGGGTAGAAATTGAAAATGGTCTCACTTGTCATTTCTTAGTGCCAGATGTCCGAAAGAAAGTAGAAGTCAAACTTTTAAGCTATTTGTATTGAAAACTATTATTATTCCTAGCTCCTTGAATATATTCTGATTGATCCAAGGACATATTCCTTCTCCTCTCCATGCCTTATTTTCTTCTATAAATGAAACAAAACATGCCCTACTAATTCCAATCCCATGTAGACATGAGGAGAGGACTGAATTTAAAAGGTTATTTGAACTCGGCTAGAGAAATACTGTGAATACAAAGGAATTCTTTATGTATTATTGTTTGTACATCAGCATTTTGCATAGGCTTGAAAATCATCTCCCTATCTCCACCTTCTTCAGGATACAAAAAAAAAAAAAAATCCGTGGAAGAGGTGGTGTATAATAGGGAATAAACAGAACCCTCTGCCTTGCCTTCCTATACTATCCAACTATCACAGAATCCAAAGTGAACATGAATTATAGCAAGAAAAAAACTAACTTATATTTAAGTCCACCCAATTTATTCTTTATTCAGTAGTTTCTGCCTTCATTTATATGCTCTGAATCAGCACTGGTATTCATGGGATCTTAAGGCTTGAGGAGACTGCCAGGGTTTTTTAGTCTGTTTTCTTACTCTTGCCCAAAATTACACCTCAGATTAGAATATTTTTTATTCTTTAATATGTGCAGGAAACAAAACCCTCACCTCTTATCGTTCTTTAGTCCTCTTCTAGTGTCATACATTCCTTACGGGTGGACAGCTCATTATCATAGATTTACTGAAAGAGTTTAAGCCTCTGAGCCAATGTTTGTGACTTGATTGATTTAGAAAGAGAGTAAAAGATCCATTAATATTTCTTTTGTGTTTAGAAAAGAGCTGTTGGAAAGTAAGCAAATACCAAATTTCACTAGATTCTTTCTAGGAGAGAAAGATGTCCTAATTTTTTCACATTACTCCTATCAAACAGTAATTTCAGACTTCTTCAGGGGACAGTATAGAGTATAGCATGTGTGAGAGCAGACATCTGAATATCACGAGCAAGTTTTAGGCCATTAGTGATTTAGAGACCCCACCCCACCCCAAACTCCATTCTCATCATGCTGATCTTTGAATGGTTTTAGAAACTTCTCAGAAACATAGAGTAATTTTAGTAGATGAAATACATTTTTGAGAATATAAAACTGCCATTAGTGGCAGCAAAAGCAGGAGCCATGGTACTATTCCAGAAATGCCAATTTGTCTACTCTTTCTATTGCTTGTGATTCCCTGAGTGGGACACAAATTACTTCTTCCAACAAAACTGATATGGTGGGTTATATGGTTATACATATGCTAGAGATTATAGAAGGAATTTTGAATACTCTTTTAAATAATTTCTTCAGAGGAAAAAAAGTAAATTTGTCATACCTGTTTTTTGACAGTAGACCAAAATTTGGTACATCTGAATTACTCTGCATCAGAATCCATCCTGTGCTAGGACATCCAGTAGTGCTTTTCATCCCTGATGACGTGGCTGGCATGGGCTTGTTGGGAGAGCTGATACTGACTCCAGCTGTCGCGCTATGTCCCTGCCCGAAGGTCTTTTCCAACCAGCTGAATAGGATTTCTTCAGTTTCCATATCCTTTTGATGATAAAGTTCATACAATTGTCTTTGAAAATTAATTTTTTTATATCCCAATTTTAGAAAGGCTTTTAGCATATAAATTCTCTTTTTAGAAGCCAGTATGATTTGTATAAAAACAAAAATCCAATATGAAAGCCAAGCTTGAGAAATTTTCCAGGAAACAAAACTATAAAATGTGACACTTGTGCCTCACTCTTTTCATGTAATCCAGTGTGACTGAAGCATGGAATGAATGGTGCAAGAGGGAGAGATGAGGCTGGGAATGGGAAGGTGGTTTGGATGGAGTTGAATATGGTGGATCTTGAGTACCACACTAAGAAGTGTGAATTTATTCTCTGTATAGTGGGAAATCATTGAATGTTTTAGGAGTTTCTTACAGCATTGTATAGGATGAATGGGAAAGAGAAGTCAGTAATCGCTAAGTAAATAAGTAAATGAACTGGGTAAGAGAGTGCCTGAATTAAAAGTGTGATGAGCATGGAAAGGAGAGACCTGTTGCTGTAAGGAATCAATATAATGAAGTAACCGATTTATTGTTGGAGTGGGGAGAGATTAGGGGCAGGAATTACTGAAGTTGATACCAAGATTTCTATATCCAGAATAGGCAAGTCTATAGAGACAGAAAGTAAATGGGGAGGAATTCTTTTTGGGGAGATAAACATGCCCTAAAATCTATGGTGGTGATGGTTGCACAACTCTCAGTATACTAAAACCCGTTTCATTGTACAGTTTAAATGCATGAAGTGTATGATATATGAATTAAATCTCAAAGCTGTTAAAAAAAGATTTCCATGTATGACTGACAGAATAATGAAGCTGTCAACAAGATGCAAATCATAAGTAACAGATTTGGTGAGAGGAGGGTAAGAAGATTCGTTTGGCTTTAAACATGTTGAGCTTATGGTGCCTGCAGGACATCCTTGAAAATGGCAAGCAGCTGTATAGAAATTTTGGTCTGGAACTTGAAAGTGGTCATATTTAGAAATACAGATTTTCGAGCCTCAGAGTTTTCTCTGTAGGTTAGTATAATATAGTGCTTTGGTTAGCATGGCACAGGAGTGTAAATGCTGGGTTCCCCATTAATTAGCTCTGTGACTTTAGGCAACTTACTCAACCAGCCTAAACCTTTATTTTCTCAGCTTTAAAATGGGGATAATAATACTTACCTCATAGTTATAGTTCTTTTCCCTTGCCAGGTTTGTTTTCTGGGGTTTTTGTTTGTTTAGGATTAACAATATAATAATCCATGTGATGCTTCTAGTATACTGCCTGACATAATAAGTATTCAATAAATATTAAGTATTATTTTTATATGATTGAAGCTATAGGAGTAAATGAAAGTATAGTAGAATATAAAGAATAAAAACAGAAAGGGGCCAAGGTCATGATAATGATAAATGTTAGCCGAGAATATCTTTTAGGGAGAAAGAAGGAGCAGGAGAGTGATAAAGACTATGCATGGACATTTTGTATTTTAAAACATTCTTTTTCTTGCTATCTAGATCATACAGAAGAGTATCAAGTAAAATAATAAAAGTTTCTTCTTCCTCCTCATCCCATTCCTTAAAGTGGATAAGATAAATGTTCTGTCTTCTTGGAATTTCCATTTTGGTGGGAAATTTTAACAAATAGATGTCAGGTAGTGATAAGTGCAGTGAAAAAATAAAGCAGGTAAAGGGAGGATGATGGGGATGTTATTTTAAATATTATTGTCAGTGAAGACTCTAGGGAGGTGATGTTTTAGTGAATAGTGAGAGATAGCTATGAAAACTGGTGGGATTTCAGTTACTTAAAATGGCAAACTAGGTAATTAAGACTCCCCCTTCCCACTGAAGATAAAGGCTAGATAAAATATTAAAACATCCTAAAAGTATTCAAGAGCTAGTGAATAGGGAAGAATTTCTGGGTTATGATTTAGAAGAGAACAGAGTTACAGAAAACTGAGCCCTGCATTGGGGGCTGCTTTTACCCTGGGGTTGTTTGCCATTTAGAGCAAGCAGCCAAGAGGCTAAGATGCTTCTGAATCAATACAGGGCAAGGAGGCCAAAGAGTTCATGGCTTCTGATCTTGGGGTTGCTATTAAAAACACCTCTTGTTTTGGGCAGGGTTAACTAAAAGGCTACACTTCAAGGAGTAAGGTGAACCTAAAATAAACTGTCCTTCACATGAACTACATTTGTTTTTTGGGTCATCTAGGCAAGCCAAAAAACCTTAAACTTTGAAATTGGAATAAGATGATTCCATATTGCTAATTCTCACAAATGCCTTGTAGAAACAAACAAAACTTCTTTCTAGAGGAAGATAAGTGCATCTGTGCTTCAAATTATTTAACTAATACTTTCTCAGATGCATGCACACATATATGACCAGGTGCAAGAAAGAACAAGGTAACATGAACAAGAGCTAGCAAAAACAAAGTCAAAAGAAACAACCAGTGGGACTCCAGATATTGGTAATATCAGACATTAATTTTTAAAATAAAAATCTGTTTACTATGTTTATGAAAAATGTAAGCCATTTTTGCCACGGAACTGAAAACAATAAAATATGATATAATTTTTTAAATAACTGAACAGAAATTGTTGAGCTTAAAAAAATCAATAACCAGTATTGAAATCCAACAGGCAGATTTAACAGCAAATAGAAACAGTATAAATGAATTTGTGAGCTGAAAAATAAGGATAGCAAAAACTCAGCAAAATAAGACAGAAGAATGGAAAACAGCAACCGTTAACAATGAGACAGACTAACATACATTTAATTCATGTTCCAAAGGAGAAGAGAGAGAAAATGGGGCAAAAACAACATTTGAAGAGTTAATGGCTGAAGCAATCAAAACATTTAAAAGCTCTAACAATCAAACAGGACAAATAAAAGATATCTGTACACTTGTACAAGATCAATGACAGAAAAATCTTAAAATCAGCCAGGAAAAGAAAGATTATCTTCAAAAGAGAAACAAATTGACACGTAACATCCTCATACCATTAGGAGGTAGTGTTAATATTTTGAAATAAAATAATTACCAGCCTAGAATTCCATACCCAGTAAAAGCATCCCTCAAAGCAAAAGGTAATGAACTTACCCATAAGTTATATTAGTAGCATAATCCATACAGTAAGAAGAATTAATTCATCTAACTGTAGAATATAGTGTTTTGACTGTACATTCTTGGTAAGACATACTCTAAGGATGTAATGAACTGCAAAGAACTCTAAAAACTCATTCAGTGGTCTGGATTCTTAGGAATATTAGTGTTATTTAAATTACTGTATGCATATTTATGAAACAAACAAGTGTTAACATTGTTAGGAACCAAAAATTTTAGCGTAAGATAGAAAATATGTGAGTATAAATTCAGAGAAATTAAACAACTTTTTTAAAATTAATTTTTTATTTAGTTTCTAGTATACAGTACATTGGTTAGATATCTATGTAGTTCATAAAACAATCCCCGCAATTGCACCCTCCTGCCCCTGCCCCTCCATCTAAGCAACATATTAATGCTAACTGCATTATGTTGTGCTCCCCATTTCCGTGACCATCAGCTACATCATGTAGTGTTTATCTTTCTCTGTCTGCCTTAAATACCTTCAAAGCCCATCAAAGCAATATCTTTTCATATGTACAGGTCTTGTTTTCTTATTCTTTCAGCTACTCTTTCTTTTGGTTGGAGCACTTAATTCTTTTCCATTTAAAGTACTTATGGATAGGAATGTAGTTGTTACCATTCTTTATTCCTGTTTTTGATACATGTTTTTTCTTCTTAAAGAAGTCCCTTTAACATTTGCTGTAATACTGGCCTGGTGGTGATGAATTCCTTTAGCTTATTTTTGTCTGGGAAGCTCTATCGGTCCTTCAACTCTAAATGATAGCTTTGCTGGATAAATTATTCTTGGTTGTAGATCCTGGGTCTTCATCCTGTCAAATATTTTTTGCCAAGCCCTTCTGTCCTGCATAGTTTCTTTAGAGAAATCAGCTGCCAGTCTTATGGGTGTTCCATTATAAGTAACTATCTGTTTATCTCTTGCTGCTTTTAATATTCTTTCTTTGTATTTAACCTTTGGCATTTTAATTATGATGTGTCTTGGTGTGGGCCTCTTTGGATCCCTGATTTTTGGAATTCTCTGAGCTTCTGGGGATTTATGTCCATTTCCTTCCACAGATTAGGGAAGTTTTCCATCATTGTTTCTTCAAACAGCTGTTCGACATCTTGATTTTCTTCAGTTACACCTATCAGACGAATATTTGGAGCCTTAATAGTGTCCCATATCCTCCTTAAATTATTTTTATAGTCTTGGCATCTTTTTTCTTGCCATTCTGATTGAGTGTCCTGATTTGCTTTCTTGTCCTCTAGATAGGGCATTTGATCTCTTCTTTATTCATTTGTTTATTCCATTTAATATGCTTCTCATCTCAGATAACATGTTCTTCATTTCAGACTGGTTCTCTTTTATAATTTCCATTTCCATTTTTATATTTTTTATCTCTTTGTTGAAGTTCTCACTGAATTTATCTACACTTCCCAAAAGTTCATTGAGCATCTTTATAACCAGTGTTTTGAACTCTGCATCTGTTAGATTACTTGACTCCATTATATCTGGATCTCTGTTCTGTTCTGTCATATGGTTTCTGCTTCTTTGTCTTCCCATTTTGACTGCCTTTCCATGTCTGTTTCTATGTACTAAGCAAAGCTCCTAAGTCTCCTGGTCTTATTAGTATAGATTTGTGAAGTCGGTGTCAGTGACACAGTCCTGAGAGAGGTTCAGCTGCAGGCCATACTTAGCCCAAGCCTCTACTCCTCCGGGGCTACCTGTTAAGATTCAGCAAGCGATCCACAGATGCTGTGCTTACAGTTGCCTTAAAAGGCCACAACAGAAATCGAGGCCAGCTGCCACCAGTGTGAGGCCAGGCACTGTTCAGCAAGGGGTCCCTGACTAAGTAAGAACACACCTGGATGTGGCTTGGGTGGAGGCATGAGTTGGGGGTGGCAGGGTTTCCAGGAATCCTTTGGGCGGAGCGACCTCTGCTATCCAGTTTGATGACATCTTGGCTATGGCAGCGCTGTATCTAGTGCACTGATAGTGGGGGAGGCTCAACAGGGAACAGCGGAGACCGACAGCACTTCTGTACAGAGCGAGTCTTCCCTGGCCCTCACTCTGACAATGTCTCCCTGTAAGTCCCTGGCACCCCCTGCACGGAGCTGAATGGGCAGTGGTGCTGAGTGAGCAGGTCCATCACCGCAAAAATCCACTCACAGATGTGGCCCCTTTAAGAGGCGTCTACCGCTGCCGCAGCTTCCATCTCAGCCGCTGGAGACCGGGCAGCCCCACGTCCTCGCCCGTCCTACCTTCTGCCTTTGCAGAGTGCTTTCTTGGACTTCTTTCTAGTTGTATGGCTTGTTCCCCTAGATCCCAAGTGATTTTTCCTTGCTGCTGCTCCTTGTTTCTGTCACAACTTTGATTTGGTCGCCAGAGGGATGAACAGAGCCTCTATCATCTACGCCATTTTTTTTCTGTCTCTAAACTTTTAAAAGTACTCTTAAGGTGGAATTGAAAATATCAGTGTGGAGGGGGAAAAATAAAATGTTAAAAAAAATTAAAAAAAATAAATAAATACCAGTGCGAATCACCAACTTTTTGACTTTTAAAATTACATATTTCTTAGCTCTGTCCATTTAAGAAACCTAGAAGCCATGAGCACTCCTAGTACCCAAAATGTGTTCTCTGAATACCATTGTTCACTAAAAAAAGAGAAGTCGCTGATTCTAGGCTTAAAGTAGAAATGTACAAGACAAGCTGGGTATATTCTTGGGCCAAAAAGCAAGGATGCTATTAAAGGCCAATGAGATTATGTCAAAATGATTTGGGAACTTCCATTTGCAGCCATGATAGGAGAACAGGGACTGAATTTAATCTCCTACCTGAACAACTGAAAAAATGGACAAATTATATTAAACAATTTTCATATATTAAACAGGTAGTACAGAAAAAGGCTACATAAACAAGTGAACCCTATGATTGCCCCACCATACTTCCTAGAGAACTTTCTAGGCTGTAACACAGGGAGGGGATACCCAATGAGAGTCTGGTGAATTTCTTGAGTTTAAGAGGCAAAATTCCAAGTTTGGGAGGTCCAGGGAAGTAGGATTTATAGAAACGAGTACTTAAGAGGACAGAAATGCAGACACAAAGCTCTAGATAGAGGCGAAACTGGAGTGTGCACAGAGCTAGAAATATTTTCTGTTCTTACTAGGCAGGGAAAATGGAAAACCTCACATTTCACAAAGCATCAAGGTATCAGGTGTAATCCTAAGAAGGGTTTTCCTGAGTAGTGAGGAAAATTAGCCCTAGTTTTCAGGCCTCTCTGATCCCACCTAACAAAGCTTAAAAGTAAGACCTACAAGGCTTAGACTGTTTCCAAGTAACTCTATAATATCCCAGGGGAAAAACATAAGAATATTTATTACACCTACTAAGGTAAACTTCACAATGCAGGGCATCCAATAAAAAATTACTTGGCATGCAGAGAAGCAGGAAAATAGGACCCATAACGAAAGGGGGACAATCATTCAAAATAAAAACCTAACCAGAAATGACACAGATGGTAGAATTAGTAAATAAGGACATTAAAACAGGTATAACTTTATTCCATATGTTCAAGATGAGAGAATATTGACCATATTAAGTAAAGACACAGAAGATATGTTAAAAAAAAAAGCCCCGTTTTACTTTTATAGATAAAAATTATTACAATTTATAAGACAAAAATACAATGTATGAGATTTATATATTGCAAAAGAAGAGATTAGTGAATTTGAAGACAGCAATAGAAACTACCTAAAATGAAACAGAGAAAAAAAGACTTTAAAAAAAGAATAGTGTCAGTGAACTGTGGGATAATTTGAAATGGCCTAACTCAGAGATGTGTAATTTTAATTCTAAAGGAGTGAGGGAGAGCAGATAAAATATTTGAGGAAATAATGTTCCCAAATCTTCCAGATTTTATGAAAACTATAAACCTGCAGATCCAAGAAAATAACAAACCCTAAGCATAAGAAACATGAAAATTATACCAAGACACACCATAATCAAATTGCTTAAAGCCAGTAATAAAAAAATCTTAAAAGCAGCTGGAGATAAATAGATATATTTACATATAGAGGAACAAAGAGGAATTACAGCAGATTTCTTGTTGGTAAGCTAGAATAAAGTAGAGTGACATCTTTAATGAAAGAAAAAAGAAAACTTGGAAATCTATACCCAGAGAAAACATTTTTCAGAAATGAAGGCAAAATAATTTTTCAGACATACAAAAGACCAAAGACTTCATCACCAGCACACCTGTATCATAGTAAAGGAAATCCTTGAGGTAGAAGGAAAATGATAACAGATGAAATTCTGGATCCACACAAATGAAGAGCACTAGAAATGGTAACTATCTGGGTAGATGTGAAAGATTTTTGCCTAATTTAAAAAATCTTAAGAGATAATAGGCCGTTTATAGCAAAAATAACAGCAGTGTATAAGGCTTGTAACATGGAAGTAAAATGTGCAACAATAGCATAATGGCCAGGAGGGGAGAAATGGAAGTATATTGTTGAGAGTCTCATACTATATGTGTGTGAACTGTTATAATATCACTTGAAGATAGACTGCGATAAGTTACAGTTGTATATTATAAAGCCTAAAGCAATCCCGAAGTTAATACAACAGATAGTTTTAACTAATGAGCATAAAAGGGAATAAATGAAATTGTAAAAATTACCCAATCTAGAAGAACCCAAAAAATAGAAGAGGAAAAAGGAAACAATACAAGGTACAAATGGAAGACAGATAACAAGATGTTAGATTTAAACCCAACTATAGCAGTATTCATATTAAATTTAAATGGTTAAACAACCCACTTAAAAGGCAACCACACATTTTGCAGTCAAATGTTCTACCGCTGAGCTATACCCCCTAACCACACATTTTGACTCTTCACATACTCCACTCTTATTTTGAATGTGCAGCATCTCAGAGCTCCCCTGGCTCTAAAGAGTGAATGCATTGGCCTTAGCCCATGTTCTTGGGTTTGTGATGGAGACTTCATTTATGGACCCTGTCAGCCTTTGTTCTGTTGTGACTTTCCATAATGCTCCAGTGCCTAATGGGTAAGAATTTTAATTTTCACAATGCCTTGTGTTTACCCTATTAAAAAGAAGATGAAAAAAAATAAAAAGGAAAAATAAATTTTGGTCTCTTTAGCTTTGGTTCAGGGGACAAAAGAAGTTAGGCAGTGGTTCTTAACTGGGTAATTGTACCTTCAGATGACATTTGGCAATGTTTGGAGACATTATTGATTGTCATGAATGGAGGCAGGGGTGCACTACTGGCAACTAGTAGTTGCCAGGGTAGAGGCCAGGGATGCTGCTAAACACCCCACCCCATCCCAACAAACAATAGAGAAGTACATCTGGCTTAAAGTGTGGATAGTGGCGAGATTGAGAAACCCTGGGTTAGAGGGAGGTTGAGAGTGGAAGTGGGAAGTCAAGGAAGCAATTTAAGGGGCCCGCCCTTTGTCTTGTTTAGAGAATAGGGTTAGAGAAAGAAGGAGTTTTCTTTTCAATCTGAGTATTCTCAAATACACTGGAAAAAAGTCCTTTGTATATATTCTAGCATATATCACGTTGTATCACAGTTTTTTGGATTTTGTGTCTCCCATACCATAAATATAACTTAAAGGAAGTCATTAAATCTGGATATTCGTCTTTGTATCCCCAGAACTTAGTACAGTGTTTAATCTGGGGTGCCACTCAAATCTATGATTAAATAAGTAGGATGAATAAATAACTAGTTCTAATACTATACCTGTAGCTCACTCTCATTAAAGCCACAATAAATTTCTGAGGATTCTAGTGGATCTACCTCTGTTACCTGACACCTATATTCAATGTGTAAAAGGCTTAATTCATAATCTAGCACACTAGCTTATGGGAGTGTGAACCAGGTTAGTGAAATGCTTGTTTTATGCCAATGAATACTTATTCATTAAAAAACCACTAAAATTGGGCAGTTTTCTTTAGCACCTATATACATATTTCTATGTGGACCTTCAGGTCTGCCTCTGACATTGCCAAGCCAGGAGCAGCCAAATACTGCTATCTTCAAAGATACCTCTTATTTCATAGACTGGAAGAAATACCACTTGCGTATGGTGCCCAATTTGGATCTCAATTTGGATAGAGGTATATCTTCCTCTCTTTGTACAGGGGTAAAAAAAAACTGGAGAATATGAGAGAAATGCAAAGAAACATGAAAAACAGGTATATATAAAAATAGGACCCAGTGATCTGATGGTTTAGGTTGGAGGTTGCAGGTGGGGTTCTAGCCACATTTGAGAGTCCACTTGGAGTAAGGCCAACAGGTGTCAGGAGGTAAAGCCTCATCAGAGCCTAACTGTTTTTGCATTACGTATTGATGCTGGTTCTCTCACTTTCTCTTTTGTCTCCTCTATTTCTAGTCCTCTTGAAGTAGTGGGCCTTCATCTTCTAGGGACTTGTTCAGAGGGTTTCTTAATCTGTCAACTCTAGGGCTATAGAAAGGTCAGTAAGGGAGCAATTACATTTTTGACTATTGTGGAAGAGAAATGCTTCCTAATGAGAATCTACATAAAATTAGAAAAAAATGAAAACACCTCATAAATGCAAGGCAGGAGTATGAACGATATAATAATAAACCTAGGAGACTGGCTATAATATTCATGTAGAGTAACCACATTAGCTTTGGGTAAGTCATGCTGAAAGTTGGATGCTTAAAAATGACTGACAAAACTGGGAAATAGGAATATGCAACTATGAGCTGATATCTAAGAGGTTTACAGTCTTGAGCTTGACTGTTGTTAGCTAGAGTTCTTTGAAATTTAGAAGGTAGTCTGGTCAATTGGATCCTGAAGAAATGACCAGTGAGGAAGAAATGTTCTAGAGATGTGACTAGCATGAGAAGTTTGAAGCCTCCTGGGATGGGACAGTATCTCGGGGAATGATAGAATCTTCATCTAGGAAGTAAGCCTTGGGGTAAGGCTCTTTTACTTAAGTAAGCAGTTATTCCAGAGGGTGGAATGAAAGGAGAGTGTCCTTGGACAGGGTCTCTGGAGGTAAGTAGTTTTGGGAAGGAAGTCATTCGTTTTTGTTTTCATGTTTGTTTGTTTCCTTCATTTTTTGCCAATTAATTTTGATGCCTGGACTTTCTCAGTTACTTTGGAAGTGAATAATGTAGAAAATGTCTCCTCATCTCATGCCCTCATTATGCTAAAGGACAGAACCAGGGTCCACATGGAGATACTTCTCTGTATGGATTCTAAAGGATCAAGGTGCTAAAAAGTGACCATAGGGCATCCGATTACTTGGGAATACAAATATATTGTGGTTAAAAGATGATTTTGAAGTTGGTCTAAAACAGTTTCACCACTTACTCACTTACTCTCTCATGTCGGGCAATGTATGTAACTTGCCTGTGCCTCTTATCTGTAAAAGGGCATAAGACTAGGTCCTATGCCATAGTGTTGTGAAGTCTAAATGTTGAGATAGTACATGTAAAGTATTAACATGGTACATGACACATAGTAAGTGTTTGATACAACTTAGCTGTTACCATTATCAGGTTTGACTCTGATTTCTGCCTCTTACTAGCAATACCTACCTTAGAAAGTTGTACAAGGGATGCATAAGTTAATTTCATAATGCTTCCCAGTAAATGTTAAGGAGTACTGTTTGGTTTGCATTTTGCACACCTAGTTATTTTGATGTTCTTCTTGAGAATCACTTATTTGCTTCCACCCCCTGGATAGAGAAACAGATTCAAAAGGAGAAGGGAGTGTTCAAATTTAGATCTATTTCAGATCCTTTGTTTGAGGTATAGATTCTTTAATCAGTTAGCATTTTGAGAACTTTACCTATCTTAGAATACTATTCAATAACTTGTCTTCTAGATTTGGTGCTTCCAGATGTGAGTTATCACGTGGAACCTAGTGAGGGGGATCAGTCTCAAAATATGGACCATCAAGGACAGACTCTGCTGCTCATTCTCTTTGTTGATTTCCACAGTGGATTTCCAGTCCAGCAAATGGAATTGTGGGGTAGGTATAGGAGAATGACGCTGCCAGCTTGTGTGTGTTTAAATGTTACTATAGAAAGGGTGACTTTATAATGCACATATCTGAACTAGATGTATTTCTGTAGACTAAGGAATTTTGATTTAAGTTAAACAAATTATATGCTCTATGGAAAAGATCTTTATCTTGAAGCATCACTTAAATGATGACATTGTCAGATTTGGTTGACCAGAAATCCGAAACCAGAAAAACTATAATGCTCCCTACAGAGTATATTACCTTAGATGCGTGGTTCTCAACCTCAGCTGCACAATATATTACCTGGGCAAAGCAGTGATTTCTGATGAAACACATGCATCAGAATCACCTGGAATATTTGAAAGTGTGCAGCTTCCTGGGCCAAGGATTAACTTATTATTTTTCTATTATGTAAAAATCTGGTACAGCTCAAGAATCTGTATTTTTAACAAGATTCTCAGGTGATTCTTAAGTATAGTAAAGTTTGAAAATCGCTTGAGTATGTGTGAGAGTTGGCTTATGCATTTTAATTTAATAAACCCTGGGATGTAAATTTAAGAATTTCTCAGTGCCCTCTTAAACTTTGAGGGAAGTGTCAAGAAGTAGAGCATATAAACTTGTGGGGAAAGGTTCATAGCCTCCCTTTTGGTGCTCATGGCATGTTTCTATGTTCTCCTTTCTCTGTGGGCCAGTGCTTTTTCTTGGGACTCTACTCTCCAGGCATAGCAGTGCTGTTTGATATGGCCCTGCTCCCACTGAGTCATAAGAGAAATGAGACAACTTACAGCCCCAGATCAGAAGAGCTCATGTTGACTGCTGCCAACTATTTGTCTAATAAACCATTGTCGGCTGTGGGATTCTTCCTGCTGCCTGCCTTCCATGCCTCTCCTGTCTTTCCCCAATACATGTAATTCTTTAGGAGAGAAGCACTGCTTTCCTGGGCTCTGGCTTGCACCTCTAATGAGGAACTTGTGTTCTCTGGTGCCCCACTCACTGTTCCATTCTTTAAGGCCTTGGAATGGGAGCATAGAAGAGACCCAAAATAATGAGGCTTCCAGCAAGGAAGTCAAAGGTGAGGATGCCTAGGGCTGTTACCTGACCTGTGCTTACATGCTAGTGGCTGATTAAGAGAAGCAGCTTAGTATTTTGGAAAGGGCTTCAGGGTAGAATCAAGAGACCTGGGTTTAATTTTAGTTCTATCAAATTCCTCAATGATTTTAGGGAAGCAAGTCACATAAATCATCTGATCCTTTCATACATTTAACATAAGATTGTTAAACTAGCTCATATTCAAAGGCCCTTCCAAGTCTAAAGACCTTCTTAAGACTTAAGATCTGCTCTCTTCTGGCATGTTGTTGTTTTTTTTTCAGGTCTGCTAAAGGGAATACCATATTCAGTTTTCCTTAGGATTACATAAAGTCTGATACCATGTTCTGAATCCTATTGAACATAACTTAAGAACTCAGATTCCTCAGAAACCTGTATTATCATTCTTGTACCTATGATAAACATCTCTGTTTAGCTTCACTCTAAAGGCCTGCAGCACCTCAAGTAGTTGTATGTAGCATTGGATTAAATAGAAATACATTACAGCATTAACAAAAATAGTAGGTATGTTTTTAAATTTCCTTATGCATCTGGTAGTTCAGGACTAGCCTTTGAAGAAGATGCTCCGTTGAGAGTAGGTAGATATACATAATGGCTCTAAATATAGCAATTTTATCTTCTTTTTCCCCTCATCTTTCTCATCTCCTTGAAAGCTTTCTTTAGAGCTCCTGTTGGAAACAGATTGTGCAGAACTACAATCTGTTTCCATGTGTCTTTAAAAAATCACTTAACTGGCATTCTGCCCACCTTGTCATGGTAACTTTTCTATGATTAACTCGTTATTTTGCCACAGTGTTCAAGGCATCTGGTGGTATCTGCAGTTTTAGGAACAAACTTATAGCTTTTTAATTAAATGTCTGCTTTTAAAAGGATTCTAACTGATTTCTTGAGGCTATTCTTAGGACCAAACTATAAAAAACAATAATCCAGATATTATCATAGCAATAGTGATATTTTCCCTTTGAATATTGCAACGTACGTTTCAAAACACTTCATATATATTATCTCAGTTTATTTGCATAACACACCTGTGAGAGCTTGTGATATAGTCATTTTCTATACTAAAGTGAAAAAAGTGAAGTGACTTGGTCACCATTAGTTGGTGATAGAATTGATCCTAGAATCTATGTTCTCCTGACTCTAGTTCCAGACCCCTTTTGAGCAGACCACATATTACCTTCCCTTCCAGGAAAGCATCATGGTGCCTCATGGTAGAAAATGTTCTTCTGCCTTGATTTTTAACTCAGCCCTGAGAAAAGCTAGCCAGCATCAGGCTGCTTCACCATTGTACCTTTGAACATATTGTTCAGAGGAGACTAGAAAAACACTGAATAAAGAAAGATTAAGAAGCATTTTCTCCATGTACCCTGTAAAGTGAATTCGTCTTCCTGTTACATCAGGATCATCAATGCTAACCTATTGTTTGGTGACATTTAGCTCATCACTCTCACATGTTAGCTTTTCTGAATGATGCTGAGCAGTGATGCCTGTGGTTACTTATCAGAGATAGGCCCCCATTTAAAAAGACCTTATACCAGCAGTTATTATAGTCATCTATGTGAGTTTAACTTTCTATACCACAGCATATCTGAAAGGATTGACACTGACAATAACAGTAGCTTACCACAACAGTGTTGCTCAAATAGGAATGGAGTAGGGTTATCTCTCCTTTGGGAGTCACCAGTACCATCGTTTATAGTATGTGGTGTATATTTCTGTTTCTGATACGAATTAAACAGGATCCCTTACATTTGTTTCTTCAAAAATAATGTCATTCTTCACTTTAATTTTCCTGAGATTTCTTTCATTTGCAAGTGGGAGTTGGGTGGCTTTGTAAGTTGCTGAGGGTTTTGTCTAAAGTAATTATTTGTGGATAGGCAGAAGTGAGCTAGCACAGGAACAACAGTCTTAAAGTGGTCATGCTCACTTAGTTACCAAAATTCTCCTTCCCCTTAGGAGTCCACACTTTGCTCACGACTCATCTCAGTGCCATCCTCGGGGAGAACCACAGCGTGGTACAAGATTCCATCCAGGCTGCTGTGGACCAGGCCTTGGAGAAGTAATTATTTGTGGATAGGCAGAAGTGAGCTAGCACAGGAACAACAGTCTTAAAGTGGTCATGCTCACTTAGTTACCAAAATTCTCCTTCCCCTTAGGAGTCCACACTTTGCTCACGACTCATCTCAGTGCCATCCTCGGGGAGAACCACAGCGTGGTACAAGATTCCATCCAGGCTGCTGTGGACCAGGCCTTGGAGCAGCATCACCAGGCTGCCAAGGTAATATTCACAATTC